GCTGAAATACTTACCTGCGCAGAAATAATTTGCTTGCTGCAATACTTCTTGATACCCTCTTCAACAGTTCTGTCTTTTTAAAAAAAAAAATTGATTTTAACCAGATTAAAAGAACTAAGTGCGAAAATGAATTGTTTCTCTCTGTTAAACAATAATATGCTGCGCAGAGATACTACTGCACTACTATACAATCACTTCTCACAGTAATAAAGGCTTTACTCAACACTAAACGCTTCTCCTTTGTTTTTTATTTTAGTTTGCCCTTTTAAGAAAACCAGGTCCTTGAGCAAATTCAGAGCCACAGTGAAAGACCCTCTTGGTACACAATCTCTGTTTCCCATTGCAAGTCACATCTGCATTTGCAGAATCCAAACATTAAATTGAAAAAAAAATTAAGATAATAATAAGATTGATTTAAAAATACTTATCTGTCTTTTAGGCATACTATGGCTTCATAACACATACATTTAAGATTTAAAAAAAATTTTCAGGTGAACTTAGTATTTGCAAAAATCCAGCATAATCTAAATGCTAAGTAATAAAAACTTCAGGAGTTAAGTAGATGTCAGTTGCTAAATTCTGACAATGTTTACATTGCACACTCAAGAACAGCATTATTGCTGAAATAGATTCTTTATTTCTGAAACATTCCAAAACAGCAGTATACACAGTTGTAATCAAATATTAATTCATATGCCATTATAAGAAAGCATTGATTAGTGCAATTGGATTTTGTAAAAGATCTATCAAAAAGATTTATTTGCATTAAAACTCATTTTCCATAAGCAACTGTTAATAAAACATTACAATTTTATTCTTTGTAATAAAGTACTGAAAACCAACTGTAGTTTTAGAGATCACTGTATCTTTCTAAGTGCAATGTGACTTATGCTGCCATTTTAAATACAAACCACTATGACAATAAATTAACAATTGAACAAATGATGAAAGACCAATAAAACCATGCTGACCCAGCTGGATGGCAATTTCCAGTGAATGCTACTTTTTTTGTGCTTCTGCAACATAAATACACTGCTTTGTATTGCCAATGGTACAATTTTGTAAGATATGTTCCTAGCGCTAAAAAAAGTACATTACCCCAAAAATATTATTTATGGCACAGAAAAGTTAAATTATCTCTGTTGTTCAAGGTTCAGGCAAGTTTAAATGAACTTAAGTATACAAAATAAAATGTACTGGAAACACCAGAAAAAAATTCAAGCACATACATAAGTCCCCCCCAAATTCAAAATAAAATGCATGATGCCTTTACACTGAATAAATTATCTTGGAATTTCAGTACGGCAAAGCTGCCCGGAAAGCATTATCTCCTAGTTCTTTCCAAGGAAATAGTCTGGTACTTTGCACATATATACTTTCTTCAGTTCCAAATGCCAACACTGCCATTATTAGTCTGATAATGCAGCTGTTCAGGTAACAGATTAAGTGCAATATTTAGTATTTGATAAGATGTTCATTTTTAAAAAATGACATTGCATTATGGATGGTTATATATTAAAATACCGGGGGAAATAATACTGTATGACCCTCCTTTCCCAAATCATTGTTACCCAGCCAGCTGGGTAATGAAATCTGCATTATTTATTTTCCACTGTTGATGGGCATCCTTCATCAATAGCAGCCGTCTCTCCAGTTCGCATCCCGCATTGTGCTGAGCGACGAAAGTGGCTTTGGAGGCTGAAGAAAACTGTAATAAAAGAATGACAAAAAGAAAAGACAAAGGAAGTCATATTTCACATGAAAGATCAAGGTTAACAAACTTATTTACTTCTGTAGCAACACTGGCTTTGTGGCTTGCTTGGAGACATCACTCTGGTGATGGAAATCACCCTGATTTCTGGCTCCATGCTAATGCAAATGTGAAATTAAGGCCACTTCCAATGAGACCCCATTGCTATTACTGGTCTTAACAGGATACAAGGTTGGTAAAAAGGGATTTGGTGAATAACTCCCACGATGCACGAGACCCCTCTAAATGGGAAGATTTGATTCTTCAGGACTATATGCAATAAAACCCTATTTTTGTCACTATGGACAGCAGAATTCTAATGGCAAACAGTCGCTAAAAAGCTGTTGTGCTCAGCATGCTCATCAAAAAACAACACTTTATAAAAACACTATGCGCGAACACTAAAGCGTTTAGGCATCTTATCGGTTGAAGAACTCTACCAAGTCCTGCTCTTATCCAGACATGTGACGACATGTTTCCATCCCACAGCTGAAGTCAGAGAGCCACCAGTCCCAGCACCAACACCCCTGCAGGGTACTTGCCATCTTCCTGCCCCAACCCTCACACCTGGGCTGCATCTCTCACTAATGAACGAGGACTGATTAAAAAATGCTTGTTGACCATCTTCCAAACCCTCCAAGTACCAAGTTAACCGGTTCATAAAAGATTAAAAAATGGAAGAACAACCATCAGATTTGATCTGTCAACTCAGTGGTGATGAGGCAGGCTCTCTCTAATTTCCTGCAACCATGTCTTAGTTACCCCACAATTTGCTGAAAATAAGTGTGTCCCAATTCTGTGAAACTGTTTCTTACAAAACCAGGTCTTAAGCCTTGTTCTCACATGTCTCTGCTTTTTCTGTGAGTTACTGATGCCTCCTCTCCCTTCCAAATGCCCTTGGCTGCAAAAAGGCAGGGGTATGTTGTGAGGCAGGCAGAGTCAGTAAGTTAAAAGCAGTCACCGGAGCAGCTTCTTGCCTCTCTGCTACGACTGCTTTTTTAGTGGCAAAAAAATTGCACCTAAGTAAGGTTGTTAAACTTAGGTTCAGCCAAGCTGCTTTTGTGCAGCTCCACTTTATTGCAGTATCACTTATCTTTCGTAGAAATCCAGTTACTTGAGGCATAAAGCACAACCTGCCTCTGCCGTTTCCTGCAACTGCTGCTTTCATTTCTTTTTTCCCAGAAAGAAAAAAACATGAAAGTATGTTTAACAATCTCAAAAGAAAACAGAGACGACAGAACTAAAAAACGGGTAGATGTGACACTTCGGGACATGGTTTAGTCTAGTCTACCCTTGATTGGCTTAGAGTAGACTTGGTAGTGTAGGTTAATGGTCGGACTGGATGATCTTAAAGGTCTTTTCCAACCTAAACAATTCTATGATTCTAAAGAAAAGTTAACTACATTGAAAAGAAATGTAAGAATACTGGTACATATCCAGAGTCGAATCTCTGCTGCAGGGCAGTGAACAGGAAGATGCATCAGCAATGAAAACTGTTTCAAACAAGCACAAGCTGTCAGTATGATGATGTGTGGTTTGAGGTAACAGAGTTTTGGAGGGTCTGTAGTCCCTTTCTACTTTCCCATCATCAGCTGGATTTCAGCGACTGGCTCCAGCGCAAGGCAGCAGGAACAAGCAAGCCTCCCACCGTGGCTCCGGAGCTGTGCTTATGCTGCTGCCATGCCTACGCCTGGTACCTGGGATGACCCAGACCCTGACCTGCTGATTGACTTCCTGGCTTTAGCTGGGACCTGCTTTGTCAGTGCGGACTTGTCTGGAGACTGGGGCTGTTGGCTGACCCTGGTCACCTTCAGTGCTGCTCTTGGTTGGGTACTGAGGGACAGCCTGGCTGTCCTACTCGGCTGCCAGCTCACCTTGCCTTACTGGAAGCTGCCCCTGCTGCCCCTCACATCATGCTCCCGGGTAAGGACAGAAAGTGGAGGACTGGCAGATAGGGGATGGGAGGCGAGAAGGTAGGTTTGCAAGAAGCCCAGAGCGTGGAGTTGGAAAGGGCTGGGGGTTGCGTGGATCCATTCAACAGGAACAAAAAAAAAACCAACCAACCAAGAAAAAGTGCTGCCTGACTTGTAAGGCTAAGTAGAGATGGACTGTACTCTTTAATTTCTTTACACTGCGTTTGGATGCACGAATGTCTGAAGGCAAGGAGAAAAGCAGTTAATATTTAGCCAAGTTGGTTATCTTGGCTACTGTAATTTTATTTTACAAATTATCAAAAGCACTCTCTCACGTGCTTCATCCTATACAGTAAATACTGAAGCTCCCTAATGCAGGCCCTATGTAAAGTGTTTAACAACCTATTTTAAGTATCTAAAATACCAATAACTTGGCTACCTAACAGTGTGGCCACAGGCATGAAGACACAGCTTTGCTCTGAATGTGCACTTCTTCCAGAACATCTGATTGGTTTTGGAGGGGCGGGGGGCACACCAAAACAAAGGACCTTTTCTACTTTTAATCAAGTTATGACTAAAACCACTTTAATTTTCAGTGTACTAACAGAAGCTAGACTCAAACTCATGATCAGAAATATTATTCCTTAGAAATGACCACAGTGACAAAAATCAACAGGAGAAAATCTACCGCTGATGGCTGAATGCTTTCCAAGAAAATTCCATGTGAACTGAAAATGCCCTTATTTTCCACATGAATAAATAAAATGAAACTAAGGTCTTAAAGAACTGTAGGCTGAGCTCCAATCTGCCCGTGCTTTTAGAGTTCTATAAACTTGTCATTCCCACAGCGCAAAGACCATCTATCTTCAAGGATCACTGGTCTGGCTGTACGGCAACATATGATCCTGCTAAGGTACATTTAAAGGTGAGAAGACAGGAGCCCAGACTTTCTGGACTATAAATAGCCTTGTTACTGAATTGAATTAGTTTCTAATAAAAAAAGTGTTGAGAGTACAGTGTCTCACTCTCCCGCTGAAACCTCTTAATTTTGTTTTTCTTTAATATTGTCTGTTGTATGAAAAGTTACAAAATAGCAAGGGACTGGTCTTCATGGCACAGAAAGTCTCTTTCTCACATGTTACTATGAAAGATTTAAGAGCTCTGCAGAAGAACATGAAATGGAGGAAAGGAAAAAGGAAAAAAGAAAGAAAACCCTCTACTATAAAGAACTCTAACAGAGAGAGTTCCAGCAGAGAGCAAAGGAGGTTATAACAGAAATCGCATGGTACAGTTTTCATCAAAGAAACCTGACAGCTCTTCATCAAAGTTTCACCGCAGTTGGTCAAAATCTGCTGTCAGTCACATCGGTGTAATCCCCAAGTAACTCAACCAAAGAGAGAATGTGAGCAATTGAACTTATTCTGGATCTAGCTGGCATCTAGCAAAAAGTATAAAAAATGGTGAGAGCTAAACAGTGACAGTTCAGCCAACAGAAAACCAGGTGGTCACACAGCAGGCCCTCACAGAGGAGGGACACGTGTGATGGGAAAAAAAGAGCTGGAAGAGTTGACACAAGTTGATGTAAGTTTCTCTCTGAGAAATTTCATCACCTATTAATCACAGAATATACAGCTGAGAGTTTAACTCCCAGCTGTGATAAGGTGATTAAAACAGTCTTTCCTAAAGCTTATTTTATTGCTTGCCCTAAAAAACCCAAAACCCAAAAAACTGTGGAGATTAAATTCTCTTGGAAAAATGCAAAAAAAATGCACCTGCTTAACAGTACAGCTCATTGCAAGTATGTGATAGTCCAGGATTTCCTGTTTGCATATTGTCTCCCAGCTGGAACTGAAAAGATGCTGGTTCAACACAAGACTATACTATCGAGGATATTTCCTTCCTCACAATGCCATAATGTCACAAGTTGCATTTTCACAGTCTACTGCCATTTACAACAGGGATGCAACTCTTTCTATTTGAGTACTCTAAGATTTGCTCATCCTGTGACATTGAAATAGCAGTTGGCACAAGTCTGGAAGAAGGCAAGCCACCTATGTTGAAGATACGAGGTTTCTATTCGTTTTGATTTCTTACTGATGGGCAGCAATCCATTCTTATTTATATGTGATTATATTCTACCAATTATCATAGTTTACTAGGAACTACCAACAAGCATTGTCCATTATTATTTCTGGAAAGAAGTCTTTACCCTTTCAGTGACTCAGCATTGAGAGCTAGAAACTGTTTGTTTTATAGCCCAGCTTCATATTCAGGAGAAAAAAATCCCCACAATCTAAGCCAAAGCCATCCACATAGGGAAGGAGGCCTAGTTAATTCTTACCTTCGAACTGGCTGTGCAATTTTACTTCTGGGTATGCCACTTCCATTGATGGCCAGCGATGGTCTTGGAAGAGCACTGCGCCCTACAATCCCTTGACTGGCAGTCTTGTTTGGCATTGGGATCCCAGTGTTAGAATATAACTGCAAGTTGTTGGACACTGGAATACTGCTGCTGCTGCTACTACTACTACCACCTTGTACGGTTGGGCTTACGTAGGCAGTAGCTTTGAGAGGCTGTCTGACAGACACTGGAAAATGTCCCACACTGTGAACTCTGTGCTGAAGCTGTCCTGGTGATGGAACTGTAAAGAGTGGTAGAAAAGGAAGTAACAAGGTCAGTATGCAACAGATGAGGCCAGGTAGTAATGCTCATTTCTAGACAGATCTGAATAGGAATGAACACATTATACAATTTGCTTGCTGAACGACTGAAAGACCCCTTGGATCCAATACTGTATCCAGTAACACTGCACTGTGTACTGAATACCCTGTTCCATCTCCATCCTGAACAAAAATCCCACCCATATTCACCCTTCTTTCTCCCCTCAAAGACATTTCATTAGCCATTACAAGCACGCTAATTCCACCTATGCAATTAGAGCTTTAAACAGGAGAAATGGCTGAAGTTATAAATTAATTACTGTTAGATCATTTAGATTTTTGTAAGGTTGCTTGCAATAACCACAAATTGTTTAAGCAACATTGCATTAAAACATTATAAAACATCACAGAAGTCTAAGCTTTATGTATAAAAACAATAAAAAGACTATAAAAAGGTCTTGAATATAACAGCATATTCCAAGGCCAGTGTTATGTAAACTAGCATTTTAAATCAATGCTATGGGTTCCAGAAACTTTACATACAGATTTTCTACACAATCCTGCCCTCTGGTGTACATCACACACACATCTGTTTCAGAGTCCACATATCAAAAGCAAACTGTCAAAAGACTGAATCACATAAACTAACGTACTGCATATTGGCCAATCCTTTTCCAAGTCTTTGAAAAAGGACATCTTAAAATCATTTAAAGACACAAAAGAAAACATAGATGTGTGATTCAATTAAACAATACCAGCAATATATTGCTATGAAACTCTTATCGTAACACAGCTCCTTAAATACCCCAGCCCAGCCACTTATTAGAAATGTTTTTCAAAAACTTAATTTAGAATATCACATTTTATATATACACACATAGACAGAGAACTATATATTTCTAAAATAGTAAATAAAATTAAACTCTCAACACACTACCATGCAAATCCAAGTGGGAACCTGAACAACTACTCCTACTGAAACAGGACAAAAATAAAACAAAGTAAATTTTCCAGAAAAGATACAATTTAATAGTTTTGAGCCTTCTAGTACCTGAAGGGAGCTTACAAGAAAGCTGGAGAAGGACTTTTTACAAGGAAATGTAGTCATAGGACAAGGAGTAATGGCTTTAAACTGAAAGAGGGTAGATTTAGATTAGATATAAGGAAGAAATTCTTCACTATGAGGGTGGAGAGGCACTGGAACAGGTTGCCCAGAGAAGTTGTGCATGTCCCGTCCCTGGAAGTGTTCAAGGCCAGGCTGGAAGGGGCTTTGAGCAACCTGGTGTAGTGGAAGGTGTCCCCGCCCATGGCAAGGGGTTTGGAAGCAGATGATCTTTAAGGTCCCTTCAAACCCAAACCATTCTATGATTTGTAAATTCTGCTCCAATTTGAAAGAACACACCCACAGGAAAAGGTTTCACCAACTTCTCCCTCCAAAACCTCAGAGGACGTGGGAGGCATAAGTTAAATCCTTTCTCTTGCTTGTGTCCAATGAAATCCACTTTCTCCATTCCCTCCCAGAGTACCTCAACCACTGTGCTAGAAGAGATGGGTGTGGATCTTGATCTATCTTGTTCACATCCTACATTAATAATTCAACATTCATTACATCAATTCTCCCTTCATCCCCTCATACTCCCCCTAAATTAAACTAATTACAGCATCATTTTAACTCCCCCGCTCAACAAGTATATTGTACCTGAGGATATAACCCCCTGTTTACCACATTTGCTCGGAAGAAAGTGGCTCAACTTCAGTAGAGGAGAGATCATATATTTTAAGATAGTATTTATACAGTGTACAGTAAAACCAGCATTGCATAAATTACCAAGAAAAGCAGTTTTCAATTCTAGTATCAAAACTAAAAATGTAAGCTTATATGAATTAATCACATTATTGGTGCTTCTACAGTACTACTACTACTAATTATAATTTTAGTTTTAAAGTTGGCAAAAATGAACGGGGCGGGGGGCGTGGGGGAAAGGAGGTGATGACACTCCCAATACTGCATAACAAGATTGGCAGAATTTGCTTTCTGAAATAGAAACTTTGAAAATCACGAGCTATATTAAAATCTGGTGTAAAAGGAACACAGTCTGCTTTTAATTTTTCATAAAGCAGAGGATCAGTGACTGGGACATGTATTTTACCACTCTATTGATTCCTTGTGCGCAGCCAAAGAACACAGGTACTTACTACATGACTGCATCCTCGAAATCCCATTACTCGCTCCATGCAAATTGGAGTCAAAGCTCTGACTGTTCCTCACAGTGACTGGAGAACTAGCAAAGCCAGCATTACTGTTAATGGTGGGAGTACTTGGCATCCGAGTGAGGTTAGGCATGCTTCTTCGAAGTTTATCTGAAGCAAAAGAAGACAACATCCATAGTCATGTCAGAATTTCCAACAAACACCAGCAGCCTCTGAATACTTTCTGTAGAAAATAAAAATTAAAACAAATTACTTCAACACAAAGAAAGGTTTTGCTCTGCAGGAAGAATATGAGTAAGTTTTGTCAGCCTACTAATTGAACCCTTCTGACTATTGTTAACAGCAAGATTATTCACAAATAGTTTTAAAGACACCAATAGGCAGTACATTTTTGGAATCACAAGGATTTAAACACTCAAGTGACTTAAGGATGAATTTCATGTAAATGTATAAAGTAGGCCAGATGAATCATGCCCTAAATGTGCCTGTTTCTTTGCAGTGAATACAAAGCAAGGCTGCAGTGATGAAGTAAGACACAGGTATCTACACTGTGGCTATCTAAAGACAGGTGAGATGAATCCATCCTAAGTGACTAAAGTCTTGCTTTCAGGTGCCAATGAGATGCTAACAAATTCCATTCAGTCCCTAACCTTGTTAGCAAGTTTCTGCAGGTGGCCACGCACAAAACCTGGTGAGTCTTGGTGCAGTTCAGTTGCTTGGAGCCCTGGGTTGACATCAGGGTTTTCAAATCTGGTGGTTCTCCCTCTTACCCTACTTGTGCCTGATTTGGTAGGCATTTTCAGAACAGGCCTGTAGGGTCTTTCACAAAAAGAAAGCTGCAAATGCCCCAAATGTTTTTGGGGCAGGTTCAACAGCTAAGGCAAGTGTCTAAGAGGTCAGAAGGCGTCTGCAACCCCACAGAGGGTTGAGAGATTTGGAGAGAAGCCAAAACCAAGTCTGACATCTCAAGACTTCCCAGCCACAACAGCATTAGGTAATCTAAGGTGAAGGTCTTTTGGTCTCTTCTGCCACAGGGCCAAAGAGAGATGACTCAATTCTGTATAATCAGAAGAGACTGGTGGGGGCAGAAGGGCACACACTGAATGACCTAGCCTGAATTGTCTCCTGTGACATGACAGACTTCAGTAAAGCACCGCTGTGGCAAAATAACAGGTCATTCGTTAGACTGGCATTGACAACACCACGAACGCTGGCCTCTTGGCCAGGATCAGGAGCACGAGTGCTGTGCCCTGCTGAGGTGGCTATGTTTCTCCTGGTACGGTGTCAGCGTGCAGGCCACCAGCTCCTGCCGCAGGTTCCAGCACCTGGCAGACGTCTGCCTCCAGTTCTTATTCTGCAACAGACAGCAGGCAGCTACAAGTGCTCTCTCCAACAGCAAGCAGGGCATTTCAAGATTGATGTTTTGGATTTATGCACAGGCATGACGCATCACATGAGGCTTGGAACTGCTGTTTTGGGCCGACCTCCTAGCTCACACAGGACGAGTTCCACAGAAACAGTAAACTGGCTTATGAATCTCTGTTTATCAGTCCACATAAATGTATAACCTATTTAGCAGTATCATGAGCTCCTCTAATCCTTAAAGCTGCTAACAACTGACGAGTAATAAGAAGTGACAGTGCAGTTCTATCTATACATGGTATTAATAGTCACTAACAGTAACTTCAATATATATGACACCTGCGTAACTCCAGCAAACTGAGTCACAGCAAGGTTACAACTCCAGCTGTTTTTTATGACTGGTCCTCATGATAAGAACCGGTACAGAATCCTGCAAATAGTCCAAAACATCCTTGTACTTCAAAGGTCCAGTAGTTCTAATATCCTCATGTCTCGAGTCCCAGTTACTAGTGCCTACCTGCCCTTAACACTATATTATGCACACTAGTCCTGCAATGATGAGACCTTCTTCTCTCCCATCTCAGCTAAGGTTAACTTTTAGTTACCATACATGGTCTGACATAGAAAACCATTACTGTCGAGGAAATAGTTTAAATAGTCCCATGAATTAAATATACTACATTTTCATATTTTTGAAATCAAACAGTAGGTATGGGAGGTAAGACAGGGAAGAGTTCAGTGCAGGAAAAGGAAATGCAAGGTTTGAGTTCGTGGAAACTAGAGTACAGCCAAATCCTAATAAAGAACCAGTTTAAGGGTAATCCTTCCTCAAAGAGTTAAGAGTTGTTGTGCTTCAGCGACTCATCACTGACACTGGCAGGCTGAAACTGTCAGTGGTACAGCAATGAACACGAGCAAAGGTATTACCACTGTGGTTCAGTCAGGTTAAGTATTAGTATCACTGATATAACAATGATAAAAGTTATCAGGCTTCCAAAACTGTCCTGGGGATGCAAACAATGGCATCCATACAGCTATAATATGTCCCTATTTCTGAAATACTCATGATCTTGCAAACTGGAAACTCTTCCTGTGATGCAATCTTTGGCCCAGAGTGGCAGAACATTCGTGAACATGGAACATCTGTAGCTACTGTTAATTTTGGAGCCCTAGCCTACCGTTTAAAATCTTAAGTCCACATTACAGAACTCGGCAAAAAAGGTTTGAGCGGCAGGATGGTGGTAGGTAAGATGGCACTAGCTAAAATAACTTTGCTAATACTATTTATGTATCACGTTGTCTAAGCAGAATTCCTTGGACTGTACATGCTTTTCCACTCAGGGACTGCATCAGCCACCACAGGCATGGATTTCCTCCATGTGATGGGCGGCCACATCTTTTGCCTCCTGTTTATTAGTCCCTTCTTGTTTCCAGCAGTCTGTTCTGCTGCTGATTCTTTCAGTCCTCAGGCAGCAGATTCCTGCTGCACCTAAATTCTCACCCATCGACCATCTGTGTTACTTCTTTGATGGGTCCTTGTGTCTGCTGAGATAAATGGCCCTGAAAAGCAATGAAAATAGCAGGTCAGTTTTGTGTTTGGGGAAAACCCAGAAACGTTCATCTTGATGACATTTTGCAGCTTTCATCTCCTTGGATGATCCATCCTCTTTCATCTCTTTCTTGAAGTTTGTTCTGCCACCTGTTCCCCTCCTGAGAACAGTGGAAAGAGTCTTACAGACGTTTTGCTTGTAAATGAAATGCTGGCTCTTGTGAGCTTGATATATGGAAGCAGAAGGTGTGAGCTATGTGATTTTAATATTATTTCAGGCTGCTGAGACATGACTAGATAGAAACTTGCTGGAAATATGAGAAGAAAACAAAAATATTTTTCCAAGCCGCAAGTAGCAAACCTTCCCTTTCTAGAGCTCTTTGCTCTCCTAAGACTGATGAGAAAATTAACAGAAAGGAATAGAGCCAAGACATATTCTCAGGTGAGAAGTAATTTGCCCAAATAGTCCTGTTTATGATGAATGCTGAAATTTGCTACAGTTTCTGCTACCTCTTCTGCACTAATCTGGATCAGTGGCAAGCCTAAAAAAAATCATCAGTTTTTGACAGTTCATTCTGTTCGGAAGATGTGGATATTAACACCAGTCAGGAACTCCAAAGGACCTGCGCCTTCTACAGCATCCAAAGATATTGTGACCCACTACTGAGTCTCAACCATAATCTAGGACGAAACAAATATGATGTTTAAGTAGGATGCAGCCATATAAAGCATCACAGATGTATCTTCGCCTTTCCCAGCCTTCTCTGAGATGTAATAGCATGACCTAAGACATTGTATTATTGAGATATTTGAAAGTGTTGAAAGTTGAAAGAAAATGCAAGGACAGGTCATGCAAGGGAGTTAATAAGCACGAACTGATTATTGCCACCTTCTCAGAATAGTTCATACATATACACATGTGGTTGTCACTTCATGAGCATTCTTTAAGTGGCATATGCTGCCCTTGTTTCATCTATCTGCAGCAGAATGATACACCAAAGATTACCTACTGCACGTTTACACTTTTTCCCCCATGTAGCATCCACACTGAATTGCCTGTTGCCTACAGCACAGGAAAACCTGGGAATTATGAAATTCAGGGTCCTCTGCCCTCAACTAAAAATGTGCATGAAAAGGCCACCCCACAGCACAGATCATATGCACTACTGGCGAGAAACAGGTGAAAATGAGGCAAAAATGTCCCTTATTTTGTCAAACGTCCCAAAAAATTACAGTGAAGACAGCAGTTTCCTTCTTACCCAGCTGCTTCAGTTCTGATTTTTTCCAGGAAGTTCTTCCCCTAATGCTGTTTCCTCTCTGAAGTCAACCTGGGATTGGTGGCCCAGCTTCTTTCTGGCAGGACACCAGAACAGGCAGCACCTGCCTTCTGGTCCCAGCACAGCTGGTGGTCGCCCCCATTTCGCCCCTGCTTTCCCCCCCCCCCCCCCCTTCCCTGACCTAATACTATCTCCAGCCAAAGATTAATGTCCATGTAGCATGCGAACAGACCTTGCCCTCGGAGCAAAGCTACCCCAGCAGAGGTGCACTCTTGGTGAGCTGCCAGACTGGGAGTTCTGCGGCAGTTCTTGTAAAGCATCACCTTCTCTCTGCCAAGACACCTCAACCAGTGAGGCTCTCCTTGCAAGGAGAGCTTAAGTTGACTCCACAGTGAAACGTCTTAACACACATTTATTCATTCATTGTTATTCTCTGGAAGCATTGTCAATGCCACAAGCCTTGCCAAAAGTGCACTAACGTTAAGGAATATGATACAATGAATCATGATTATTAGTGTCTCAGAAATCTGTATCACCATTTAAGCTACGTTAGCAGTTTCTTACACATATTTAAATCTTTCACACAAACCCTGCAAATTCAGCTCTGCCTTATCTGTATTGTACGCACAAATAAGTTGGGGAAAAACCATACAGAAAAAAATCTGGGCTTTTCTATTTTAAATATTATGTTCTCTATTAAGTAGATATTCAGAGTTTGTTCTGAAATCCTTAACAAACTTGTAGACTCAGTTACAACTTAATTCTAAGGGATTAATTTCTCTTCCTCATCTTTGAAGACTTGAGTTCAGTATCTGCATTGCATTTGTTATGGTTATAACATTTATGACATCCCAAATACAGAGTCTAATTAAAGGTCTGTGGTGTCATCAGTTGATACAACAGGGACATCAGCGTGTAAAAATACAATACAGATTAAGAACGAAAACCAACTCTTTCAGTTA